AACTTCTGTATAATACCGGTACTTGACAATTGCTCGATTTTGAGCAACAGGTACACTAGTATTAAATTAATTCATTGTCATTCGTTCGATAAATGTATTTGAAATGTCCGTGGATTGTTCCTTATGGGGTTTATTTACTTATAGAACGCTATACATGTGTTATAAAAACAGTTTTTGGGACTTGCGCAAAGTTTTCTGGCGGAGTTTTAATTTTTACTGTTATTATCATTGCACCGTCAATTGGACGTTCGTGCAAACATGTCGTAAATGACTTGTATTTTTTAAATTACCGGACATGAAATACTGGTTATTCACGTAGAGGATGGCCTGGATAGTGATTTGCTTTGTGAGATTGCCAGTCAATGTCGAATGTATTTTTTATAGTTGTTATGTCTTCACGTCCGGTGTTCCTTTCTCAGTATCGTCTGGTGCATTCGGTGATTCGGTTCGTAAATGGTTTGAATTACAAAATTTCTGACATTTCAAAGTCGATTTTCCATCGTAGGGATTGGAAATTTAGATAAACTAAACTCAGTGTTTATGGGATATCGTTGGAGATGACAACACAATGTATTCATTATTGTCTCAGAAAGAAATAACTTTGGAGGTGATGGGCGATTCGCTTAAACTAATCCGACAAAACATGGCCACGTCTAAATCTTGTTGACTCCAAGGTCACGGGATTTATTTGTTCGTTATGTTTATTTTTATAATTTTCTAGTAGACGCAACACTTTTTGAACTGTAACTAAAAAAATTGATCATCACGAGTATTTAATTTAGTTGTTGTAAAGGGTAAGGGAAGATGCTTGAGTGTGGCATAGGGATATTTTACGGCGTGGAGATTAGCATTTATTTGTTGAAGGGAACATTTCTAGGTCCGTGTTTCCGCAAGGTAACCTTTGGATGTTCATGAAATGGAGTTATGAACTTCCTAAAGTAGTTTATAAAATTACGTTGTAACTCAAGGCATGTTTATTTTTAAACTAATTCCGTCTCTTAGGCCTATATCTACCTGACAAGGCTCAACTCATCACGAGTAGTCGTAGTAAGTACTAATAAGTCACGACGCTGACGACACTATTTGCTGTTTCCTAGAGATTCACTCACTTTCCCTCCGCACGAAGCGATTTAAACAGACTTTATTCAACTATTTCGTGTCTCTTCCCTCGTTATGTTAGTTGTTGAAACTGGTTACGCCATTATTGTACAACTCCCTAGTCAATCAATACTCTAGAGATTACGGGTTTAAGTCATACAAAATTATGTTCAATCCGTTAGAAAACACTAAGGAATATTTTGTGCTATATATGTTTATGAGTGAAGGCGTGTGTAGCAAAATCATGTTTTACCATGGTAGCACAATTGATTTGGATTTGGCCACAAACTTCTCATGTAAAATCTCAATCTGAAGCTAATTTTGCGTGGGTTTTATACCCGTTTGACTGAAAAAATGTCCACTAAGTGTTTCTAAGCCTATTTTAAAGTGAATTTCAGCTTCAGTCATCACTGAATCTCATAAGTTCACGTTACGGAACGTAGGCTACACACGAACAGTAAAACAGAAACTGTATGGATCATAAATACAAATTATGTCACTGGCCCGAAAGCATATTTGTATTAATATTAAAATGGAGTTTGTCAAAAAACATCCATACCAGCTATTACGGCTATTAGTATGGCCCTTTGGGTCAGTGACATAATTTGTTTATATGTGTATTATAACCGTTTCTGTTGTAATATTCATGAGGCTATAACCTAAAAATACGTATACTTTGTACACTAAATCTTGGGAATAAGTCACCAATCGGTACGAAAAGTACATCATGCGATGATAATACAATTTACAGCGTGGTATATGATCAATGCCTGAAACTCTGACAAAACATCGTGGTCTGCACCGTGCACCACGACCGCCACCGGTTACCAAAACCGTCGCTTCCCGTGTTACGCTAACCACAGTTACATACTAGTAATCTGAATTTGCGATCTGAGTCCATTTCCATTAACCCTTTAGAATTAACACTTGCACAATTGAACGCTCTAGTGAAGAGTGGTTTATGAACTACCAGGAAATTGTGTTTATCTTTATGACGGCTGGGCAGTAGCGTAATAGGTTAATGTTGAAAGTAGAGTTTTGGTAGAGTTGAGAAGAGCCAATCACAAACAATAATAGCCGGTGTACTTTTAGCGAATTTCCCATATAGGGAATAAGCTATTACCGTAGTACTCATGGTAAGACCTGGACGCGGGACCGATTTTTTGTTTGTTTTGAGGTCCCTAGAGGCCAAAAACACCATCCGTTCAAATTCATATATATATGTCCGTTAGCACGATAACTCGAGCAAAAATGATCCGATTTTGATGAAATTTGGTACAAACGTGTAAACCTACGTTTATTCGAACGAGTTCGCGATCCAGCTTGATCGGACCATGGGAACGGGGGTTTACGGGGGGTTTTATGGGGTAAAAATAGGTTTTTCCCATTTTCGACCCTAAAAACATAAAATTTAGCAATTTCTTTCCAAACCACTTTGTAGAGCTTAAAAAACAAATAATTTAGTATATTGAAGCGTTATTATGCGCGTAATGGTTACGGAGAAAATTCCAAAAAATTGTAAATTTAAAATTCCCATGTTATTCTTATGGAGAATAAGTAAACTGTTGTAGTTTGCTTGTTTATGAACATATTTTGATCAAATTTGGAAAATGTTTTTATTTCTTACTAACTATTAACATTTTACAAAAAAAAAAAAAAAAAAAAAAAAACAGTTTTACCCTCCCTGATGCAGCAAACCTAAGTATATGTTAAACTAATTCTATTTAAATAGGGAATTAATGTTATATTTTTAAGTAGACATTTCAGTGTAAATCCAATCAGTCAAATGGAAATTCGCTTAGTCTGCAGGTTTGCTGCGGCGGGGGTATTTATGTATTGTATTTGACATCTTATTTAGCAGATCCAGTCACATGGGTGTGCCGAAACTATATAAAACTTATCTTCATTTACAGTAGGATAAAATTATTTAACTGTGTTTAGTTGAATCTTGAGGTAAATTGTCTCAACTACAGACAAGTTGACTCAGTTATGTTCCAACATTAGTTTGGTTTTATCAAAAAATATTTTTTTTTTAACCAATAAAAAACTAACTGTGTTAACTTAATAATGTTGCTATTAAAAAAAAAAAAACGTTTAGGTTAATAGTTTAAATTACATTTTTAATGATTACACTCACTAAAGCTATACAAGTTCCTAAAAGACTTATATAATCTTTAGAAATGCCAGGAATATAGGCTTAATAAATGAGAGTAATTTATAACAATTAATTACAATAACTTAACATATCACAAAAAGAACGGATTAATTTGTCTCTCAGGATTAGGGTTGTTAAATGATAAATATACTGATGAATTTTTAATTGCTTCAAAGGTCACTCTGTTTCTCTCTTGTGTACAGTTTTTAATGTGCTCTTCCTTTTCAGCTGCAGACTTTTCAACCATATTCCTCAAGTTTTCAAAGGATTTAGTCTGTTTCTTCAGATGTTTCCCCTGTTCAGATAAATTCCGCTTTAAGTTTGAAATGCTTTCGTTCTGAACGGTGCATATGATCTGAAAAACTTTCAGCAATACATTCAAATTCGCTTTTGTCTTTTTCAGATTATCAATCTTCTTTTCTTTATTTTTGATTTCTTCCATAAGTTTATCATTTGTCTTTTCTAACTGTGATGTTTTGGAGATTAAATTTGAATTTTCAATTTGAATCTCTTTCAAACTTTTCTCCTTTTCTTCGAGACAAACTGAAACATTACTTAGACGGTCTTGGAGTTCTATGTTATCTTGCTTGCATTCTGAAAGAGTTTTCGCCAAATCGTCACAATCTCTCCTAAGATACTTGTTTTGCTCTGATGTCAAAATCAACTCATCCTTCATAGTTTTCATTTTGCATATCATTTCCTCCTCTTTGTTTTGCCATATTATTTTCTCAGTTTTCAGATTGTTATTTTCATTTTGCAACTGAACATTTTCTTTCTGTCCGTTCTGAAGGCAAGATTTCAGATTATTCACTTCTCTTCTAGATATTTGAAGTCTATCATGTCCTTTAGCAAACAATTCATATAAAACAGTCTTTTGGATTTTCAGATTGTCCACTTCATTTCTCAGCGTCGTTAGTTGGGTTTGAAGAGAAGATGTTTGCTTAATACGATGCCTCCAAGCATTCAGAATGAACATCTTGCAAGCAGTTTTTGCCAACTCCGACTCCTTATTGGTTAAGAATGAAATTTGCAGTTGTGATTCCACTTCCAGATTTGTGTCAATCTCATTTTTCCTTCTTGATTTGACTTTAATTTTCTGAGTGTTTGGTGTTAGATCGACAAGAGAGACAGATTTTCTTCCAAGTGTTGAGAGATGCTTCTTTAATCCAGGACCTGGTTGATCAACACAGCAGTTATGAGTCTTTCTTGCATGGCAGAAAACGGGTAATTTTGAATCAGTTGAACTTTCAAGCTTTGACTTTTTATTCTTTGGTAAGCTTGAGGTTGGTGTATTCTTCTCTAGGTTTTTACTCATCACTCTGCTTTTAACATTATTTTTTTGTTCTATTTTCTTAGACATGATTGCAAAACTTATTTTTAAAGATTAATAGTGTTCTATTGTGTAGCTTGAGAACAATCAATTAATTGGAAACTGTACCAGCTGTTGGATTCTAAGTAAATAATGCCATGAATATAGCATTGCCCTAAATTAAACGTGTGTACTATATCAACTGCATTTCTTAAAATTATGATTGCAAGTATTTTTTTACGTATGCTCTGTTGTGGTTCTTGATTTTCTCAGGAAAAAATTAATTTTCTGTCCATTAACTTTGTTCCCCATCACAGTTGGAGGGGTTAGTTACATAATTCTAACCTTACAGTGGACCTGGAAAGGTTACTCAAATCTGAGGCTTTGTTTCTACATACTATGCGACACAAACAATTAATTCTTGATGTTGCAGACATGAGCATGGCTGGACGACTGCTGCTCCTTGCAGTGTCTATTACTGTGTGTTCTGCTGAGCTCTACACAGCTCTGGTAGACTTGGAGGAGTTGCTGGAGTCGGAATCTGCGCTGCTGCACACCCTCAAGGACTACATCTCAGCGCAGGAGCACAAACTGCAATTAGTCAAGAAGTAAGACTATTAGGGTTGGAAAAAGTATGGACACTATCAACTTTTTAATGGGTTACACCGGGAAAACCAAACTCTGCACACCTCTATACGGCATAAAAGTGCAATTTTTTTGTTGGTATCCCAATTTCGTCCGAAAACCCAAAATGGGTTATTTTGGGGACAACTCAAACATTTTGAATGTAAAGCCCTATTATGACACCTCATTTTAATGGCCATTAGTTTAAAAGAATATCGTCAAAAACTAGAGGTCTCTATCTCAACCCATTACAGAATGGCGGCCGATTTTATTTTTCATCCACCTGAGAGACCCCATATGAAAAAATATACATGAATATCTCCCGATTAACGTTTTTATGTAAAGTACCAGGAAAAATAAACTCAGTATTACCATAACAAGAAACTAAAAACGACTTTTTGGTCGCTATGACAATTTTGCCCGGGGCCCCAAAATGGGGTATTTCGGGGTCAGAGAGAAAAGAATTTATTTATAAAAATAAACATGTCTGCTTAAAAAAAATAAGGTTGCCAATGACACAAAAATATACAATGTTTCATGGATAGTAATTTTCAAAAAGGATCTGTCCAAATCATATTGTTTCCAAAAGTTCACAACAAATTTTGATGTTCCTCTAAAACCAATAAACAATTCAATCACCTCAATTTATGAAATTTTGCTTGAAATATTCAAAGGTTGATTCTTATTTTTTTCTTTTCCTCATTCACTTCATTAGGTTGATATTTAGTATTTAGCATTTTATACAGCTCCATCAAGCGACCCATCATTTTGAAGGCCATTAGTTAAAAAGAAAATCGGCAAAAACCAGAGGTCTATATCTCAACCCAGTATAAAATGGCCACAGTTTTTTGTTACCAGTTTTAAATTAAGTAAACCTTCAGTGTGCTGATGTCAAATGATGTTTTCTTTCGAACATGCCAACCTTTAACCCATCCAAACTGTTGGGACTACTAATAATCTATATAATTAATACGCTACACGAAAGTTTGTCGGTTGAACTCCTCCGCCATTTCTTAACCGATTTTATCCATTGACGTCTCATTGGAAAGAGCGTGTCGCGTAGATTTGCAAACTGACCTTACATTTTTGAAAAAGTCCCTTGGGCTCTGCCCCAGTGGCTTTAAAAGTTCCCATGTTATCCTTATGAAGAACATAATTGTTTACATTTTGATCAGCTGTATAATTTTATTGCTGTGCTGTTATTTACTTTTCAATTCAATGAAACACATTGAGTACATTTATTTACTATTTGAGTTTGTGTAAACATAACCCCCAAGACGGATCGTGTTATATAAGTATGGTTGTATCTTAAATTTGTGTATTTATCGTTGTTTTGTGTCGCTATGATGGATTGTGTTAGCATGATTGTAACTTAAATTTGTGCATTTATCGTTGTTTTGTGTAGCTATAATTTGTTTATTATTTGTTGTTTATTTCTTTTAAATGTCTCCGACGCAACGACAACGAAACATAGACAGGAGGCGTAATCGTGATAACGACCGCAACTACAGAACAGTGGCGCGTAATAGGCTTAACTCATCAGCTTAACAGTCTGAACATGAACCTGGACAACTTCAACTATTTGGTTACAAATGCGCCCTTACACTACCCCAAAACGACTTTTCGTTCTCAATTGGCCCTCTATTAATAACCTGTGTTGCCTGTACAGCGAGGCATTTTGAGAAGGAGAGAACCGTCCGGAATGCTTTAGGTTTATCAATAACGAAGATAAACAGGGTCTGAGTTACACAACGGTAATATTTGAGTTGACTATTTAAATTCATTGTAAATATGACTGTTATTCAATCTGAAATAACTCCTGTAATACTTTGTAATTGCTCGAATTCGAGCAACATGTACACTAGTTGTATAAAATTTCATGTATAATAAAAAAATTTGAGACAGCTGATTCATTTAGATGGGATTCTACTTCAGCTTCCAAAAGTCGATTACATTCCATTTATTCAGAAACTGCCATATTAGGGCAACAACCACGCTTGTAAACGTTGTGCCTTCTAAATACAATATTGAACCTTAATGACAAGACTTCGTTATCAAGATTAACTCCTTATCAAAGTTTGCAGTGCGACTAGGGGTAGTATAATGTCAAGGGAATTTGAAATGATACTTGTTACAGGAGTGAGTTTTTATCGAAGTTCCACATATCCTTTTCATTTGTTATCAAGAACTAATAAATATCTACTTCTCAATCCAATCACAACATAGTTATCTATCACGTCATATTTAATTGTTTATGAGTCTTTAATATTTTATTTTGAGTTATTTGCGAACACACAAAATATGTTTCGGATATTTCATACAGAAATTTCAAAGATTCCGTAGCTATGTACTATATCGGAGTAATGTCCGATTAATTTTTTATAAGCAAGAAAATGATGTTAAATTTGCATCACTCATCGTATTATTTTCTGTCAATTTGAATAAGTCGGCCTTAGTCACTAACAAAGACTACATACAAGATCGATTCATACTTGGCTTGAATTACCTACTTTGTACAGTCACCATTTCATTGAAAAGTATTAAAAAAGTATTCAAAGTACCGTGTGAGAGAAATTTTATGTCACAATGCACTTGATTCATCGACTGAATTACCCAAGTTTTGCCCCCTAATGAAGATTGATGGAAGGATGCCAAGTACTTGTAATGCATTCAGGATGAGATCTCCATTATGTGGGAGGACTTCAGCAAATATTGGTAGAGAGTGATGATGAATAGAAGCTTCTGCAACTCCCCCCCTCCCCTCCCTTATGTAAGATGGTTTGAATTGCAGATCCCTTTGACTCCTTGACCTAAACTTGTAATATTTGTAAGCACAAAGGGAAAGAGTTCTTATAGTGTATACAAACAGATCCTCGATGATTTGAATTCAATTTGGAGTTTCTTGATATGTTAATTCATCATGTTGGGTCTTTGTGAAATGTGTGATTTTCGTCTTATTTGACTTTATTTGAATTGTAGATTTTTCTTTAAAAGCAGCTCCTATTGTAACATTTTTCTTGTGCAGAACATTGTGATTCTTTCCTATTAGGATACAAGGGTATGAAATAAAAATAGGTTTGTCCTGACATTTAATTTGTAGGGTCACCATTTCAAAGTAAAGTATCAAAGTATCTATCTATAGACTTAATTCAGTAACTGAGGATTTTCTTTGTAACATCCCTTTTCACTTGTCCTACTTAACCATTTTTTACGATTAAGGTGTCAATTTAAAGCTTATAATCCAGCGGAGAGAGGAACGCTACCTTAAAGAGGTAGATAATTTATGGCGTGGATCTAAAATCAACCAATTCAATTTAATGTTCATTAATAGTTTTATTTACCTAAGAACTAACCTAAATAAACATAATCTGTGAAAAGTAAAAAATGGTATTGCATTATTTACTCCTCGGAAACAAGTTTTGAAGCCTATTAAAATGTAAGTTATGTACACTGGTCCCCTTGTTTATCTATAATAAAATACTAGTTTGGATTCAGCAATGGAACAGTAAATGCTAGTTCACACATGGCCATTTTACTCACTGCGATTCGAGTAGCAGCCAAAATCGCTATGTGACAACAGAAAGTAGCGGCGACTAGCACTTGCCGGCAAGTAAAAATTCACTCCTGCAGAAAGTCGAACATGTTATTTGTGGCAAGTAGTCGCTAGTAGCCAACCTTGAGAGTCACAGGATTCACTCGCCGCGAGTCGGTAGCGCGTATGTTGCTATGTCTAAACAGTCTATTCTCCTTCGCCAGTCATATGGAACGTGTGTTAATAATTTAACAGCTGATTTTTTTATCGTTATTTTTCACAGCACAAATATTAACCCGAAACAATTTGTTTGCAGGAAGTACCTAGAGTTTACCAGTGAACACGACGAGGCCAGTAAAGATCCAAACTTCTACCTGTCCAATCCTCTCAACGCCTTCCTTCTGGTCAAGCGGCTCACGGTTGACTGGAAAGATGTTGAGGCCACAATCAAGAATGACCTTAGTCAAGGTAATAACTACTATTTGTGTATTTGAAGATTTAGTATAAATCTAACAATAATCATAAATCAACTAGTTCTAGCTATGTCCAGGTTTTGAAAATAACAGCAGCCAATATATTCTTTGGTCTTGTAATTCATACCACTTCAATACATAGAATTAGCTGGGTTTATCATTTTACTCATCTTCGCCTTAAAATATGCACTCTGGTCTGATGACTTAAACATTTTTCTGAATACTGTTATCCTTGAAGAAATTACACTATTTATATTTTTTCCATTGACTTTTAGATAGGTAGTGAAGTAAAAATCCCACCTAGGGTCAGTAGCCAATTTTCTATACAAAAAAAAACATAGGTAGTTAAATCAGTCACTTACAGGATGAGCTTATTTTTTCTTAGTTTTTCTTAGTGATGTGGCAAAATGGTGGTATGGTTAAGTTGTCTTTTTAGTTTGGCTTGGTTATATATCTGTATTAGACAGAAATTGGTAATTTACTTCGGTGCACTCTTTTGGTTACTAAATTAAATTAAGTTCATTTTTACCCCAAAATTGGCTACAGCAGTGACATGGAAATGTCTATCCATAGTCAACACTTTTACATAGTCAATAATGTAACATTTGTAATTCTGCAGAGGCCATGCAGAACATGACGATGTTACGAGATAACCTCAAGTTCCCCACGGAGGAGGACCTGACAGGAGCAGCAGTGGCGCTTATGAGGCTACAGGACACATACCATTTGAGTACCAGCAGTCTGGCGCGGGGAGAGCTCAACGGAGTACAGTACAGTACACAACTGACAGGTACAGTCATGTCAAATATTCTTTTGACCGTACAAACAAATCAATATCAATGCAGCCAGTCTTTTGAATAATACGATAATACTGGCTAAATACCAGCTGATCTTAGTCAGTAACAAAGCAATCATCTTGTTCTTTCAAAACGCATTGTACACTAATCTTCGCCTTCCTAAAATATTTACTCATACTATTAGAAACCACACTTGCTTACTCTACACTTTAAATGACTTAGATCCGTCGTTTCAGCGGCAGACTGTTTTGAGCTAGGCCGTCAATCCTACAACCACCAGGACTTCTACCATACTGTGTTGTGGATGGGCGAGGCTCTGGCTAAACACGAGATGGAGCGAAACAGGACCAAAGTGGAGCGCTGGGAAATACTGGAGTATCTGGCGTACTCCACCTACATGCAGGGTGAGCTATCATTGTGATGCGATTGGCTTCTGTATACTGAAGTAGACATCCCACCCAGATTGATTAGATTTAGTCAATTTGTTTTTAAAATTGAAAATAGTCACACACTCACAGATTATTTTAATGTCAACATTTCATTTTCTCCGTTAGTTTATGTTGGTGACAATCAGGTTATGTGACATAAGAAATGTTATATTTTCCTTTTAATTTCACTTATTGGTTTAACATTTCCTGTTGACAGAAATCGGTATTTGACATTGAGACATTATATAGATGGCTCAGCTAAACTACATACTTTTTCCATTCTAATACCATTGACTTAATACTTTATACTTTTATCTAAAATGGCGACCATACCATACATAAAATGGCGAAAGTAGGTACAGTATTTTAAGCCATGTATGAATGGAGATGAGGGTAATGGGAATAGGGCGTTTTTTAACATCAGTTAAAGGTGATACTCATGCTTTAGCTCATATTTATTCCAAGCAATCTTACCTATAGTTAACTTCTGAGACTGGTATAGAAATATACGTTTGTTTATTATGCATTAAAAAACAATATATGATTTAGGTAATGTAAAGAATGCGCTGCAGCTAACAGATGAGCTGTTAACCATACAGCCGAGTCACCAAAGAGCGCTTGGAAACAAGAAGTTTTACCTGGCAGCCATTGACCAGGACGCCACTCCTCTGAACATACAAGATCGCAAGGTAACTTGGCACCTCGAGTGAACATTAATGTTGGTGAAATAAGGTTATAGACATGGAACATTAGTGGTATCGATTTAAGTTAAAATAAAATTAGCATTTTAGTGGCAGGGGTTTGGATAGTGGGTCCAGGCCCAGGATAACAACAGGATTTAGGTTTGTTGGGGCCGACACAAAGGCAAGAAAAGGTTCTCCTCAACATTTGCAATCATTAGAATAAGATGAAGAGGTTAAATTGTTAAGCAATTAACAAATTAACTTTTGCAGAGTACAGAAGACAGGCCGCTGGATGAGCTGCCTGAGAGAGATGTTTACGAGATGTTGTGTCGAGACGCAGCCAGGCCTCCAGGCAGCATTACGGCTCAGCTCAAGTGTAGATATGTGCACCACAACCGCCCGTATCTCAGGTATATGTTTGTAGTATATTGTACTAGTGAAGAGTCAATACCAAAATTTATTGGTTTCTCGATACCGATACCATTTTTTAAATTTTACAAATATTTCTGTATGGATTGGTTTTACCACCAACTTCTGTCCTTATACCCCTGCATAAAGGCATTTTCGAGTCATGGGATGTTTGTCAAAAAGACAAAATTGATACAGCAATTAAATATAACTAGCCAATTTGAGTTTGAACCCCTCTCAACAAATTAAATAAATACTATATAAAAATGAAGGTGTAAAAAAAATTCAATATTATAACTAAAGGTGGACATCTGATTATCTCCCGCGGTTGTAGGGACATCGTCATCGTCTCCCGCGTTCTTGGTAAAATCAATAATTATCAATACCTCCCACGGTCTTGTGGGCATTACAACCGTCTTCAGAGATGATTGAAAAATTCTGATTATGTCCCCTAGTCATAATATAAATTTAAATTGGAAATATGAATTCCACTTTTCCAAAAGTGTGGCAGCTAACTTTGAAATTTCTTATGAAAATCCCTGTATTTTATCATATTTTTGGAATGTTGATGCATTTTTTAAAGACTTTTTTAGATTTTTCCTCTCTAAAGTTACTCGTTTAGGAGCTACAGAATGCAGATTATACACAGCTCAAGCTTTGTTTTTCCAATGTGTATCAAGCTGTAGCTCCAAAACGAGTAAGTTAGCTTTAGAGAAAAAAATTAAAGAATAAAAACGTTTTACATTGTATTTACAGTCTTAAACAGTCATACAATAACAGGTGTCCCATTAGAAATTTTAATGTTAACCGCCATATGGTAAAACGGTAGACATTAAAAAAAGTATAATTAGTATTTTTTTTTTTTATTACAACGTCATAAGAAAATAGGTTGTTGAATTTCTCCATTTGACGTTTTCTCTAAATCTAATAGTTTCTGAGATACTAATGGTGGCACAGTTAAGTTGTTCACACTGTAGTATTCAGAAAGTAATGATGATAAATTAAAATTCGATTTTTCCTAGGATTGCCCCATTGAAAGAAGAAGAAGCGTATCTGGACCCTAGAATACTGCTTTACAGGGAAGCACTGTACGATTCAGAAATGGATACTTTCAAGAGGATGGCTCAACCAAGGGTAAATATATTTGAAATGTTTGCAAAAATATATTTTTTACATTAAACTGAAGTTAAACCACTGACAAAATTCTGTACCAGGACACAACTCCAACACATTTGACAACCAATTGAAATTTATGTGATCTTCATATAAGTGTGCGAGCTTCTAGACTCGATACTCTTCCAAGGTATAGTAGCTAAACTCTTATATTACATACAACAATTATAACTTGGTAATTGTTTTTATTTTTGGTATAATTTTTTACTTTTGATAGAACCTCCAGTCTAGTTAAAGACTTGATATTTCTTTGTTAAATCTAACAATGCTTTTCTTAGCAAACAAAGGTACTTTTCCAGAAATTATTTGTTTACCTTTTTCTTTCAGCTCAGAAGAGCGACGGTGCAGAACTACAAAACTGGTGATCTGGAAGTGGCTCACTATAGGATAAGGTAATAACATCTTTTATTTGTGAAAGAAATTATTTTGACAATGTAACCAAAACTAAAGTTGCCGAAACATTTTTCTGAGGTAGTCCTTGGCCCGCCATTGGGCAACATTGAGATATTCTGAACACAGAACCCAACTTGTGTCCATCCTGAAAACAACTGTTAATAGTAACAACATTAAGTTACTTCATGTTGTGTTGTTTATTCCGAATCACGTTGACAATAATATTGTAAAAAGGTTAAAATACCTGTAACTGCCTCGTTATTCCTCTGTTCCTGTACTGGACTACGCACGTTTCAATGTATTCACATCATCATCAGGTCACAAACTTGAAGAACTTAAACCATTCTTGAATTGGTCGCGTCAAAGTTTACAAAAAAAATACACAAAACATTTAAACATTTAAAAAACAGGGACAAAAACTGTAGGCCTACAGACACTGGTGTGCACATGACGGGTGCCGAGTCTCGACTGGTGGTGTTTTTTTGTTTTTTTTTGTCTGGGAACAGGAAACAGAATCGCAACAGTTATGTTTTACGTATGTACCATACTGTAATGTTAATGAGTGGAGATGAACAAGATTGTAGTTTTATTTGGAAAGGGATTTTTCTTATCTTCCTCATTTCCGGTACGGGAACGGAACACAATTTTTCTTCTTGTGCAACAACGGGCAATTTTAGTTTGTTCTAAAAAAACCTTTAAGGAATGTCTTATTTACCAGTAGAAAAAAACCAATATTCGGTTTGGTCAATGGAGGCATCAGCACGTTATTCAAAATCATATATATTTGGAACAAATCCTCAATTTAATATAATCCCACCTAATTGGACATGTCCAATTCTATTGATGAGAGTCTAAACAAATAGTCACCCTACTAAGTTTCCGCTATAAATATTAGTTAATAGTAACAACATTGAGGATGCAAAAGGGGGCACAGTGAATTTTTCCAGGGTGTCTGGAAACCCTTTCTCGGGCAATAAGGGTATCAAATTCGCAGGCCCCTGGTGGTGTCCCCCAAAACACTATAATTTAGATTTGATCCTAATACTAACCCAAGTGAAATTATTTTATTAAGACTAAATAAAAAACTGATTCTTACAGAACTTTTTAATGTATACGGTAAATCACCTGATTATAACTGTCATATAAGAATAGGTTTGTTTTGATTTGATTGTTATTGCTTTTTTTTCTAAACATTGAAATGGCGTTTGCAATCTGGGTGACGTCAGCATATGACGGGAAAATCAAACTTATGTATTTTCCTTCTACCATAGGCTTCTCTGTTTTACCCCACACTGTAAATAAAACATTTGATTGGAATTTCTTCCATTTGTTTTGATTTTCTGTTTATAGTTCGTTGTTATTTCGTCACCAGCATGACAACCCATAAAGCCCATGTAATTTTTTTCCAAACTTCAAATTAATTTGTTGTGCTTATTTTAATTATTAAAGGGATTCTGCACATCTACAGGAAAATATATTTCTAACAGTATGCGTAGATTTTCCCTGCGATGCAAACGAGCTGAGAAAAAAGGTTTTAAAGAAACATGCTTGCTTATTAATATATAGAATCAGACACTGTCATAGTGCACTTATGTACCTAAATGATAAAAACACTCTTAAACCAAACCAAAGTCACAACTTGTGTAAATCATAGCATATTTTGTGTAACATCAGTTACCACAGAAAAAAACCGAGGGTGGAAAGAGGATTTTTACCGTATGTCTTTTTCAACTATATGTTCTTTGAGGATAAAACTTTGGCAATTGCTGGTCCATGAATGCATGAATGCTGTGAAATGAATGGGATGTCCATGTCAGTATCCAAAGTCAGTGATATTGCTGATATTTGACAACAACTGATATTGACAGATGAGTGAGGTGGAGCAGGGAGGTGCCACAGTATTTCCGGAGTTGCGTCTGTCGCTGTGGCCAGAGAAGGGGACGGCTGTGTTCTGGATGAATGGATGGATGCTTAAAGGTAACTTGTTAAAATGTAACATATTAAAAACGTTATGAGTACTGGTATGAGTAAAAGTTTTTATGTCAGCTTGGTGGTTGACGACGACGACCACCAAGCTGTGTATGTCGTCGTCCAAACTGTGATTTGTCGACCAAACTGTGGACGTCGTCGTCGTCGTCGTCGTCGTCGTCGTCGTCGTCGTCGTCGTCGTCGTCGTCGTCGTATGACTACCAGGTCAGTTGCAAGGGAATGACTTGATCGTAAAACATGTTAAAATGTAACATGTAAAAATGTAACATGTGGAAATATAAGAAGTTAAAATGTAACATGTTAAAATGTAACGTGTTAAAATGTAACATTTTAAAATGTAACATGCTTAAATGTAACGTGTTAAAATGTAACATATTAAAATGTAACATGTAAAAATGTAACATGTAAAATTGTAACCTTTTAAAATGTAACATGCTTAAAGGTAACTTGTTAAAATGTAACACATTAAAAACGTTATGAGTACTGGTATGAGTAAAAGTTTTTATGTCAGCTTGGTGGTTGAGTGATTATAGTACTGCTGTAATCAGAAGGTAGCTGGTTTGATTCTATGTTAATTTGTTTGTATTACCTGTCACTAGTTTGGTATTACTAATTTAATTAATCTTTGTCACAGGTGTACGAGGCTGCTGGGCTGGCCAATGCTGACAGTTTTATCCGACAGTTCCCTGATGGCTACAGTACCATTCTGGGGGAGAGAGGAGTTACCGTGTCTGGGGGCCAGAAACAGAGGATAGCTATCGCCCGCGCTCTACTGAAAATCCCATCCATCCTCATACTAGACGAGGCTACCAGGTCAGTTGCAAGGGAATGACTTGATCGTAAAACATGTTAAAATGTAACATGTAAAAATGTAACATGTGGAAATATAAGAAGTTAAAATGTAACATGTTAAAATGTAACGTGTTAAAATGTAACATTTTAAAATGTAACATGCTTAAATGTAACGTGTTAAAATGTAACATATTAAAATGTAACATGTAAAAATGTAACATGTAAAATTGTAACCTTTTAAAATGTAACATGCTTAAAGGTAACTTGTTAAAATGTAACATATTAAAAACGTTATGAGTACTGGTATGAGTAAAAGTTTTTATGTCAGCTTGGTGGTTGAGTGATTATAGTACTGCTGTAATCAGAAGGTAGCTGGTTTGATTCTATGTTAATTTGTTTGTATTACCCGTCACTAGTTTGGTATTACTAATTTAATTAATCTTTGTCACAGGTGTACGAGGCTGCTGGGCTGGCCAATGCTGACAGTTTTATCCGACAGTTCCCTGATGGCTACAGTACCATTCTGGGGGAGAGAGGAGTTACCGTGTCTGGGGGCCAGAAACAGAGGATAGCTATCGCCCGCGCTTTACTGAAAATCCCATCCATCCTCATACTAGACGAGGCTACCAGGTCAGTTGCAAGGGAAAGACTTGATCATAAAAAATGTTAAAATGTAACATGTAAATATGTAAAATGTAAAAATGTAGACGACGACGACGACGACGACGACGACGATGACGACGACGACGACGACGACGACGACGACGACGACGACTACCAGGTCAGTTGCAAGGGAATGACTTGATCGTAAAACATGTTAAAATGTAACATGTAAAAATGTAACATGTGGAAATATAAGAAGTTAAAATGTAACATATTAAAATGTAACATGTAAAAATGTAACATGTAAAATTGTAACCTTTTAAAATGTAACATGCTTAAAGGTAACTTGTTAAAATGTAACACATTAAAAACGTTATGAGTACTGGTATGAGTAAAAGTTTTTATGTCAGCTTGGTGGTTGAGTGATTATAGTACTGCTGTACTCGCCTTGTAATTAGAAGGTAGCTGGTTTGATTCTATGTTAATTTGTTTGTATTACCTGTCACTAGTTTGGTATTACTAATTTAATTAATCTTTGTCACAGGTGTACGAGGCTGCTGGGCTGGCCAATGCTGACAGTTTTATCCGACAGTTCCCTGATGGCTACAGTACCATTCTGGGGGAGAGAGGAGTTACCGTGTCTGGGGGCCAGAAACAGAGGATAGCTATCGCCCGCGCTCTACTGAAAATCCCATCCATCCTCATACTAGACGAGGCTACCAGGTCAGTTGCAAGGGAATGACTTGATCGTAAAACATGTTAAAATGTAACATGTAAAAATGTAACATGTGGAAATATAAGAAGTTAAAATGTAACATGTTAAAATGTAACGTGTTAAAATGTAACATTTTAAAATGTAACATGCTTAAATGTAACGTTTTAAAATGTAACATATTAAAATGTAACATGTAAAAATGTAACATGTAAAATTGTAACCTTTTAAAATGTAACATGCTTAAAGGTAACTTGTTAAAATGTAACATATTAAAAACGTTATGAGTACTGGTATGAGTAAAAGTTTTTATGTCAGCTTGGTGGTTGAGTGATTATAGTACTGCTGTAATCAGAAGGTAGCTGGTTTGATTCTATGTTACTTTGTTTGTATTACCCGTCACTAGTTTGGTATTACTAATTTAATTAATCTTTGTCACAGGTGTACGAGGCTGCTGGGCTGGCCAATGCTGACAGTGTTATCCGACAGTTCCCTGATGGCTACAGTACCATTCTGGGGGAGAGAGGAGTTACCGTGTCTGGGGGCCAGAAACAGAGGATAGCTATCGCCCGCGCTTTACTGAAAATCCCATCCATCCTCATACTAGACGAGGCTACCAGGTCAGTTGCAAGGGAAAGACTTGATCATAAAAAATGTTAAAATGTAACATGTAAATATGTAAAATGTAAAAATGTAGACGACGACGACGACGACGACGACGACGACGACGACGACGACGACTACCAGGTCAGTTGCAAGGGAATGACTTGATCGTAAAACATGTTAAAATGTAACATGTGGAAATATAAGAAGTTAAAATGTAACATGTTAAAATGTAACGTGTTAAAATGTAACATTTTAAAATGTAACATGCTTAAATGTAACGTGTTAAAATGTAACATATTAAAATGTAACATGTAAAAATGTAACATGTAAAATTGTAACCTTTTAAAATGTAACATGCTTAAAGGTAACTTGTTAAAATGTAACACATTAAAAACGTTATGAGTACTGGTATGAGTAAAAGTTTTTATGTCAGCTTGGTGGTTGAGTGATTATAGTACTGCTGTACTCGCCTTGTAATTAGAAGGTAGCTGGTTTGATTCTATGTTAATTTGTTTGTATTACCTGTCACTAGTTTGGTATTACTAATTTAATTAATCTTTGTCACAGGTGTACGAGGCTGCTGGGCTGGCCAATGCTGACAGTTTTATCCGACAGTTCCCTGATGGCTACAGTACCATTCTGGGGGAGAGAGGAGTTACCGTGTCTGGGGGCCAGAAACAGAGGATAGCTATCGCCCGCGCTCTACTGAAAATCCCATCCATCCTCATACTAGACGAGGCTACCAGGTCAGTTGCAAGGGAATGACTTGATCGTAAAACATGTTAAAATGTAACATGTAAAAATGTAACATGTGGAAATATAAGAAGTTAAAATGTAACATGTTAAAATGTAACGTGTTAAAATGTAACATTTTAAAATGTAACATGCTTAAATGTAACGTGTTAAAATGTAACATATTAAAATGTAACATGTAAAAATGTAACATGTAAAATTGTAACCTTTTAAAATGTAACATGCTTAAAGGTAACTTGTTAAAATGTAACATATTAAAAACGTTATGAGTACTGGTATGAGTAAAAGTTTTTATGTCAGCTTGGTGGTTGAGTGATTATAGTACTGCTGTAATCAGAAGGTAGCTGGTTTGATTCTATGTTACTTTGTTTGTATTACCCGTCACTAGTTTGGTATTACTAATTTAATTAATCTTTGTCACAGGTGTACGAGGCTGCTGGGCTGGCCAATGCTGACAGTGTTATCCGACAGTTCCCTGATGGCTACAGTACCATTCTGGGGGAGAGAGGAGTTACCGTGTCTGGGGGCCAGAAACAGAGGATAGCTATCGCCCGCGCTTTACTGAAAATCCCATCCATCCTCATACTAGACGAGGCTACCAGGTCAGTTGCAAGGGAAAGACTTGATCATAAAAAATGTTAAAATGTAACATGTAAATATGTAAAATGTAAAAATGTAGACGACGACGACGACGACGACGACGACGACGACGACTACCAGGTCAGTTGCAAGGGAATGACTTGATCGTAAAACATGTTAAAATGTAACATGTGGAAATATAAGAAGTTAAAATGTAACATGTTAAAATGTAACGTGTTAAAATGTAACATTTTAAAATGTAACATGCTTAAATGTAACGTGTTAAAATGTAACATATTAAAATGTAACATGTAAAAATGTAACATGTAAAATTGTAACCTTTTAAAATGTAACATGCTTAAAGGTAACTTGTTAAAATGTAACACATTAAAAACGTTATGAGTACTGGTATGAGTAAAAGTTTTTATGTCAGCTTGGTGGTTGAGTGATTATAGTACTGCTGTACTCGCCTTGTAATTAGAAGGTAGCTGGTTTGATTCTATGTTAATTTGTTTGTATTACCTGTCACTAGTTTGGTATTACTAATTTAATTAATCTTTGTCACAGGTGTACGAGGCTGCTGGGCTGGCCAATGCTGACAGTTTTATCCGACAGTTCCCTGATGGCTACAGTACCATTCTGGGGGAGAGAGGAGTTACCGTGTCTGGGGGCCAGAAACAGAGGATAGCTATCGCCCGCGCTCTACTGAAAATCCCATCCATCCTCATACTAGACGAGGCTACCAGGTCAGTTGCAAGGGAATGACTTGATCGTAAAACATGTTAAAATGTAACATGTAAAAATGTAACATGTGGAAATATAAGAAGTTAAAATGTAACATGTTAAAATGTAACGTGTTAAAATGTAACATTTTAAAATGTAACATGCTTAAATGTAACGTGTTAAA